TATATATATATATATATATATATATACTCGTGTAAGTATATACAGACATGTGAATTGGAAAGCATAAACTGTTCTGTTTCTGTGTGGCATTACTACGGAGATATACAGTCATAATACTATGCACCTTCTCATCGTTCGTGAGTTATTATCACCATGACAACAAGAGGGACGTATTGGTCATACCTTGTCCAAGGATACGTCTTGCCTACATTGCTATGTAAAACATACCATGCAAACAAAACTCGACATTTTTCTTAGACGGTTTCTCTGTTGGTACTAGTTTTTTAAGGATGTTTGTCTTCATTGCTATGTACAAATATCAGTACTGGATATATGGTTGGTTACAGATACACAATTTTTGCAGTCTATTGTCGATTTGTTTTCAATTCGGTTTTTCATATTGCTGTCAGTTCCAAAAGTAGTGTCTGGTCTTCATTGCCAAGCATCTAGCATTATCATCACCATATACCTACCACTATCGTTCCCATATACTTACCACCATCGTTCCCATATATCGATCCCCATCATCATTGTCTGTCAACATCTATTCATATCATGTATTTACCACCCCTCGTTCAACTCCACTACTTTGTACCCATCACCATCCGTAGTGGCATAGTATGCTGCGAGTACGCCCGTGGAACCAGGCTCAACTTCTCTGCTTCAATTCTCGTCACAGAGTTGTGACAACTGCCACACTGCGAGGAATGGCCACCCAAACGCTTGCTGTTGCAGACGCCAGCTCTAACCCAGTATGCCCAGATGTTTCTCTCTCTCCCTCTCCCTCTGTATTTAATAGTTTTATTTGTCTTCAGCCTGTGTGTGAAAGTCGACACGTACTTGCAGGCGAGTGATCAGTTTGGTTTATCAAAATAGGTGTAACATGTGGTTGTATGTACACTCTTACCTGAACATGGCCGCTTTTCCGATGATGTATCGTTCGACGTCTGTGTATATTTGGATTCCGGATTGATCAACATTATAGGATGAATATGGATAGTGCACATGTGTAGGATGTATCAATTGTATTGATGTATATCTATATCTAAAGACGTGTGTATACATATTTACTTCATGTCACATTTACATCGGCACACATATATCGCCATGTCTCTGCATCTCTGTATGTATATATTGTAAATGTATATATATATATATACATGTGTGTGTGTGTTTGTGTTACAATGTCTATGTGTGTATATATATACAAGGTGTCTGTTAGAAGAGCATGTTTATATATATATGAATACAATATATATATATATATATATATATATAAACTCTACTAGTAATTAAGGACTTCTGAAGAGATTTGGAACGTGTAATAGTCTACCAACCCGAATTCAGGTCACACTCTCGCCATATTCTTATCTGCTGCGTATCCCTTTTTTTTTTGATCAGGAGCTGGTCAAGGAACTAAACGGAGACACAAAGTTCTATCCCACCGGTGAGACGGATACATTATTAGGTAATAATTTGAAAGTATGGTCCAACGGAGTCGTATCGTCCAGCCAGTGCTTCCCGGTTGATCTGAACGCAGAGGACTTAACGGATATGCAAGTATGTGTGTTATCATGCGAGTATAGGACACAGGACAGCCTGGTTTGCTTGACAGTGGCCGGCGGTACTTGGACGTTCGCGTTTTTTAATGGTAATTACTCTCTTAGTCTCTTGATCTCTTCTCTAAGCGCAGAGTGCCGTTGAAATTGGGAAGGCAGCAACGGATGTGATGTGGGTGAGTGAAAGTGATGCGGATATGTACCCTTTCTTGTTCCAAGGCACCGACGATAAAGACACAGTGAGTTTTGTGCACGACATATTCCTTCTGTCTCTATATATATATATGTATATATGTATATACATATATATATATATGTCTGTGTCTGTGTCTGTGTCTGTGTATGTATATGTCTTTGATACCATGCAAGCCCTCAGTGGCGGACAAATGTTCGTATATATTGCATTCTTTACTACCGTCTGCTGGTGTCTACATTTAGTTTGTGTCTTTTTGTTGCAATTCAGTGGTCTTAGACAAACTATGACTGCGGGTGTGTGTCTTGGGCTGACACAGTGAATGAGCCACTCTTTGCATTGCTCTTGAGCGTCGCCAACGTGACGGACACTCTCAATGCGGCTGTACCTGCTGTACTATTCAGCTGTGTAAAAGTTATTATAACTAGTAACGATGGTAGTGAGGTGAAGGCTGTTTCATCAGAGTGCAACTATACCTGCTGTACTATTCAGCAGTGTAAATGTTATTATAACTACTATCGATGGTAGTGAGGTGAAGACTGTTTCATCAGAGTGTATCTATACCTGCTGTACTATTCGCCAATGCAACTATGTCTGTTGCTGTCGTTCAAACGCACTGATAGTGTGGGTGCGCACCTCTTCAATGCCCGCTGTGTGGGTAGTTGTGGTCGGTTCAGTGTATATGTATCGATTGTGTGTCTTGACTGGTGTTTATGTGTC